ACAAGAAACAAAGAACTAAATAAATTGAGTTGTAATGTAATAGTGAGTAAACCGTATTTATATAAGTTTTTTTAAGAGATATAAAATAATTGACAAATATTTTCAACCCTTTTAAGGCACAGTGTTTCGAAACTATTTGCAAGAAATGCGTTTTTAAGCTCTCACTCTAATAGAATAATTAAATTTAAAATTAACATATGTTTAATCTGACATATATTTAGCAATTTCACATATTTCACTGATTTCTTAATGCATTTGTCTGTTTCCAAGTTCTGGGTTATTGCATCAACGGATTGCATGTACAGTGACTGAGCAATAAATTGAACTATTAAAAATATCTACAAGCACGCAGTATACAAGTAAACAAACGCAAAAATAAATTAAAATCTGTTTTGAATCAAAATTTTTCAAAGAGAGGAAATGAGACAGTGGGAGGGTAGAGAGAGAGAGAGCTTGTGGGGGCAAAAGATAACGGAAAAGAGAGAGCGCACACACGCACACTCTGATAAGGCTGAGCAATTACAGCAACAAAGTGTTGTAAGCAAACAGCAAGGTAAATAAATTGTATGTATGTATGTGCACGTGTTGACACTGAAAGCTCTCAACTTGGCACACTGACACACTTATGACAAATATACATCCCCAATGATCACTCACATGCAACAATTAAGTGCCAATTTACCCACCTCGCCATTTAAAACCACTTTCACAGGTACAAAACGCAGCAATTATGACCGTTTTTTCTCGCTTATCAATTTCCGTTCAACTTTTGCACTACACTCTAGTTTTATTTACTCCATTCGTTTTCCGTTTCTATCAGCTTTTTCTATTCCGTTGTGCCATGCTGCGTGGCAATAACAACAATAACATTTCGCACTCTTCGCGCGCCTTGTAATGTAAACAATAACAACTCCGACAGGCGATACCCTCTTCTCTCTTGCACACAATCACTATCTTGCTTTTCCGCAGGCAGATGGAGCAGAGCGACCGTCTCAACCGACGGCTCCAATGTAAATGCGAGAATTTCGCCGTTTTTCGCTCTCAAATAATGCTCCTGAGGGGGGACCTCTGCCACCCGTCCCCGCCCATCAATGTCAGCCTCTTCTTCTTCAGCGAATTTCTCGCTGAGCGAGCATAAAAGGTAAAAATATGATGAATTTCATTACAAACCTGAACCGGCACAAGAGAGTGAGTAATTATTACGAGTTAAGTTATGTTTGTGTTTATCACTTTTAAAGTACATACATACGTATGTACACACTTAGTTCAGTACATAAGTACAAAGGACAATGCTACGCTATTAAGTGCACTGGAAAAAACCTGATTATTTTTTAATATTTATTAGTTCACCTTAATATTAAAAATGACTTCCAAATATATGAACTCATTGTAATAAATAAATATATATACATATGGAAACATAACAAAATAATAACACGAAATGTTAAAAACAATTCAGTTTAGACAAAATATTAAAACGAAAAATAAAAGTTTTTTGTAATTTACCCCGGTGTACTTTTGATGATGAAGCTCCAAGGACTTTGATGCTGCCTTTTCCACATTCGGCCTTCCACTCTTTTATCGAACGCTCTCTTTGCGCAGAGAAATTACGCATCTCTCTCACTCTCTATCCCCAATACTCCACATTTCTCCAACTCTCTCCCTCTCTATTTCTCACCCTATATGCATTGGCTGACGCAATTCATACGCACTCTTGCCGTATGCAGCGCAATTTTATGAATGGAAAGCAGAAAATGCAAAAGCAACAACCTCAATTGCCACCTGGCAACAGGAAAAACGAACAACAGGTGTAATTTGAGAACTCAGATCTAGAAAAGCACACACTGCCGCATCTTAATTGTCTTAATTGGAAATTGATGTGCAGCGTGTTCGATTCGGAAGTGCCTGACTGATTACAAAATGCGCCCGCAACCTTCAGTTTAGATATAACCTCGGTAAAAGTAAACACCAACACAATTGATAACGGTCTGCACTAAAGTTCGTTAAAATTGCGTCAGCTAAAAGTTGGTAAGCATCAGCGGTATTTTTAAACTGATTAAATGTAACCGAAAGACAAGTATTCAATAATGATAGTAAATATTCTCCTCTTTAAGAAAAAAATATATTGTGCTGAAATATATTTAATGTAATGACTAATTATTTGTTGTTGACTCAACCAATAAAATTAAATATGTCTATTCAACATTCAATTTAAAATTATTTTTGATTTGTTTTTTTCGTATCCTAAAACGTCTCATTTAATATTTTTCTTTACATATGTGGTCCGAGCAGCGGAAGCTTTACTGTATTTTTAAGTTTTAAGCGTCGTACCGTTGCCAGATATACTTAAAAAGATTGCAAGGCTACCAAACTGTTTGAAATAGTTAGCGCCATCTATACGGCTTTTCGTTTGAAAATGCGCCGTCTTGTGGGAATTCATGAAAATGTCTGTTTAAGATTTTATTAGAAAAGTGCAATTTGCTAAGAAATGTATTGGATTTATTGTAATCTTTGAAAAAACTATAGTTGAAATTGTAAATTGTAAATAATTAAATATTATTACCATATTATTATATGTAGGTTTGTATGAAGGGATTTACATTTTCAGACCTTTGTTTTTCATGTTAAAAATAAAAAAAACCAAGTAAACCCTACAGAAAGTAAGCAAAGTCAAAAACACAAAAAGAATTACAAATGAAATGATATAACAACAACATCGTCATTAATAAGTGTTGTGGGAATAACCTGTTAGCAGTGAATGTTAAATTGCTTCATGCTTCCAGTGTATCACGCAATCCGTGGGAGGCAAAGGCAGAAAATACGTCCCATATCAAAGTATAGTAGCAATCTGGATCTCAACCGGCGTTAGTCTCAGCTTAGAACCCACAGCGACAATATGTCTAGTATGGAACGAAACATTCTTCTCCTTGCACTGACGGTAAGTGCAATATCTGGATTGGGAGAAGGGACTGGTAAGTAAGCTTTCCTTGGTACTTTTTTTTATATCTCTTTGTAGTGTTACAAAATTCCGTTTAGATTAAACAGTCATAAGTGTCTTTTAATATTTAAAAATAAAATAAAATAAACCTAATTATAAAAGCAAAATTGAATAGACATTACAGCTATTGAATTTAAAACAGCGACATTCTGACCTTCGTTCGGAACGAAATAAGTGCTCAATAACTACAATCTTTTAAGATCGCTTTTACTTGACCACTTTTTTAGCATGACTTGTTCTATAAAATTAAATATGTTGGATTTATTTTACTCTCCATTGCCTGTAGAACCGGTTAGATTGCTACTCAACCTCAACTGCATTGTACTTATCGATGTTCTCTTCCAGATACGGAACAGATAATTTCGGAAATGGATGATTTCCAGCCGGGCAATGTGCTGCGCGGTAAAGACATTTGCGGATTCTATTTACCTTCTTCTATTGATGGCACAAACGAGAACTTAGGTGGCTTTCCATGGATAGCGCGGCTGCAGTATAAAAATTGTGAGTTAATCAAAAAAAAAAATTAATTAAATTAATTTTTTTTATTTATTGTTTTACTTTTTAAGGCGAAAATTTAAGCACACTATCAGCCCTGTTTTTGTTTTTACTTTACAACTTTTTACTCTAATTCGTATAAAGTTTAAATTACTTGCTACGCTATATAGCAAAGAGTTTCGTATTATTGTTACATCGAGGTGGAAAAGGCTATCGTCTATGAAAAACATGGACCAGAGGAATGACATTGTGTCCCAATGATGCAGCGTCTCCGGCGATCGTAAGGTAGTACACCTTGCTGGTTTTGACTCCTACAGACTGATCCCGTGTGGACTAAAGGGCTGGCCCTGGATACCACAGAAATTGGAGGCATAAATAATAACATCTCTCATATTAATCAACTTATCAAGAAAGAATTACAACTTCAAAAAGCTTTAAAGGATTTGGTTTTCTTTGATTTAAGTCGATTTAATAATCCAAGATGGGCTCGAACTGATTTTGATAACTTTAAAAATCATATCTATATCCTGAAAAATAATTGCCATTAAATGTGATTGTTCTTAGAAATAAATTCTAATGCAATAGAAATCTAGCGTTGCTCAACTGTATTTGTGTTCTCGAAATGGAAAATGGCTACTGTAACCCACATGAAACTTCAATTACTACTACTACTATTAAGAAAGGGACGACAGGCGATAATGATTAGATTTACAATTGGGATTATCGTGTGGCACAACAAATAGGCTTTGCCACCAAAATACCATCAGACCGAATCAAAACAAAACATCCATCAAAGTACTGCGAGAAAACAAAAGCGAGGAAATAAAATAAAATGGAAAGGTGGGGCGGAAAAAGTGGAAAAATTAAAATGGGAAATGCTCGAGCAAACCGCGGGCCTAAGACAAAAGATTTACAATATCGCTGGGGAAGATTTAAAGGTGATTTCCAAAGATATATATTGTGCCTGAGCAGCGATAAATAAACACAACTTTTTGACTATTTTTATTTCGGTCTCTCTTATTTTATTTTTTTGCTCAATTCGGTTCTACTTGGCAGGCATATTGTCAATGGAAAAGTGGGTGCCATCGAGTAAACTGGGGGGTGGGTGGGTAGACTTTCCACTAAAAGTGTCACATTAACGAATTGTTTGGCGGCTTTCCTACAGTTAATTTATGCCCCGCACTAATCGCTGGCCAGGTAGAATCGAATTTATTTGGTTTCTCTATAAGCGAAATAAGCCTTTCACAAACACGCAATTCATTGAGCAGAAAATCCGTGAAAACTCACCCAAAATATGGAAGGCGTGGCCTGCATCAGCGTCCTTCTGCCTTGGACAACCGCCAATGTCGTCTAATGGCGGGGCGCGTCTAAAAATAGGAACCACTCGAGAGCACCGCCCGTTAGCCACTCAAAACGCAGCAGCATCCGCGCTCCGAGCGGATGGCGAGCACATCTGGGGTCCCCAAAATCAACGAGATCATCGAGATCCCCGAGATCCGTTCTTGGATATTGTCACCAAATGTGTTGCGATTGCGGCGGAAGGCGGTACGTACTCTCTGCGGCTCGCAAATCGGCGTGAATCGGGAGTTACACATTGAAGTGGAAAAAGATATCTCAAATTTTTTAATCATACTAAAAAAATAATATCGAACTCATTACAAATTAATAAAAAAAAATAAAAAGCTGTCTCTTAAACCTCGAGTTACGAGTAACATTTTTTTAGACAGAGAAATTCGGGTTTGAAAAGTGCACTTATGTAAACGACATTTGAAAGTAACAATTCAATCCTGTGTTAGAAAACATAAAACAGTGAATCAAACATAACATAACATTCATAAAACTTAACTGAAAAACAACATCAAACTTGGTTGCAATCTTAAGTGGACAATTATAAATTATATATAAATTTTTTACGAAAAAATTAAAAGAAAAGTTTAATATTTCCCAACAAGTTAATAAAATAAGTTAAAACAAAAGAACTAAAAATAAATCAAAAATCTTAAATATAAAATAAATAAATTATAAAAGCACTCCACATAACTTTTGGAAACAGAATATATTATAAAATTGAAGTGTAGTGGGCCAAAATGACCAAGTACAATAGTGGTAGTAGTGAATTGCCCGCGGTTCACGGCATCAAGCAGGAGTACAACAACGGCTATGGCCAGCAATCTAATCCTGGCTATGGATACAACAACTATAGCCAGCACCAGCAATCGGCCGCCCTTCCCAGCCAGAATCCCCACCAGACGCTGCAGAATTTCTTCAGCCGCTTCAATGCCGTCGGGGATGCCGGTTCGGGAAACATTGGCTCCACTTCCATCTCGGCCACTGGATCGGGATCCTCCTGCAACTACAGCCACGGAAACCATCCGGCGGAGATGGACAAGCAGCTGGGCATGACAATGACGCCTTCGCCCATCTACACCACCGACTACGATGACGAGAACAGCAGTCTCAGCTCAGAGGAGCACGTCCTGGCGCCCCTCGTCTGCTCCTCCGCCCAATCCTCGCGACCCTGTCTAACGTGGGCCTGCAAGGCGTGCAAGAAGAAGAGCGTCACCGTGGACCGACGGAAGGCGGCCACCATGCGTGAACGCCGGCGACTGAGAAAGGTTTGGGTCCATTGCACTACTCCTTGTTAATTTAAAAACTTAAGGAATCCGCCCTGGGCGGTAACGAACTATTTTGAGTTAGCTACCAGGCTTTAGCATTAACAACGCTATGACAAAGTTTGATTTTATTTTTAATTTTATGAATTTACGCTTAAATAATGTTTCAATAACGATTTGTTGTATGTTATGTATATAAATTCTTATAAGCACCATTGTCCGTATGTCCGTCCGTCTGCCCGTTTCTCAATCTCTTAGTTTTAAGGCCATCTGCATTAAAATTTCCCAAAAGTTGTCTTTTTGTTGCAGATTGTATATAAGTCGGAACTAATCATATGTTATAGACAAAAAATTATACCCACTGCTGAATTACAAATTTTTATTTTACTTCTTCGAAATTAGGTTAAAATAAGGCTATTATATCACATAGAATATATCATATAGATATACTATAAATAATAAATAAAAAAAAATGTTTAGCTTCTCTATTTTTCACTTTTTTTCTTTTGTATGCAATGGCAATGGAATTATGCTCTTAATTTTATTTAAATCGGAATATAAACTATTTCATTTGTAAAATCTAAGTCTAAGTCTAAGCTATGCACTTTTAAGCGATAAAAAGATAGCAAATTAAGCGGAATTCTTTGATTTTTCTCAAACAGAATGATTTTTAACTCACTTAAAAAGGATTTTAACTCACTTAAAAAGAATTTGAAATTTCCCTTTGCAAAAACAGAGCAAAGTTTTTAAAATTAATTTCTTCTACAACTTTACTTAAAATTGTTAAATTGATACATTCTAAATTAGAATTGTTAAGCTGCAAACACAAGCCGAAATGTTTGAAATTTTAACTTAGGAGATCCTGAAAAGAATTACAAAAGAGAAGAGAAATAAAAATTTAAATATTTAGCTGTGTTAAAAAAAAGATACAATTATTAAACAATTTTTAAGCTATTTTCATATTATTCAGAATATAATTCTGTAAACAGAAAAACAGAATTATTGTATTGGAAAGTAAAATAGTAAAATTTTTCAAGTTATTCAACTTATATTCAAGCTAAAAGCGATGTTTAAGCGTATAAAAAAAATCCATTTTACGTGTGTTCTTTGTTCGTTACTCAGCGAACTAAAAAATTAGTGAATGCAATATATGCTTACTTTTTCTGTTCTTTACCATCTTTGGTCTTGATCTTTGTAGTCCATCCTTTGTCGAATCTGAAAATAGACTATTGTAATGCTGGAAATACCCTTGAAGCGTTGAAGGAGTGCAACTTTGTTGCAATGTCATTAGGACCACTGGCACCCCACAAATTAACACATCGCCACTTGCCCTGGATGGGCTGCCCCACCGGGGGGAGGATCCACTGACATAAAACGCAGAAAGGGAAACCACCCAACAAGCGTACAACATAAAGATTTGCCAAGACCAAGAGTTAAACAGCGGCATTTATGAGTTCGACAATCGTAAAAGTTTTTGGATGAACCACACGTATTTATAGCCACACATAGAGACATTTGCGTAGGGAAACCGAAAGGGGGAATGGAGCTGTCATAAAGAGACAGACGACGGGCGAACGTTTTAATTGTTGAAAATTTTATGCTCTATTTAATTTAAAATATGTTTTATTAAATAGCCACTTAAAGGGGACAACAACAGCATGGGGCTGTGTGTTTTTATTGCGCGCCTAATGGATTTCCATGATTTCAACGATGGCCATTAATTGATTATTCTTTTTCATGCATTCTAGGTTAACGAGGCCTTTGAGATCCTCAAGCGACGCACATCGTCCAATCCCAACCAGCGGCTGCCCAAAGTCGAGATCTTGCGCAATGCCATCGAATATATCGAGAGCCTGGAGGACTTGCTGCAGGTACGTCCTAAATTTTGTTTTAAAAGTTTAGAAAAAATCATTAAATTTTTGCTTCCTTGTCGGGATTATAGGAATCCAATCCTACACACGATGGCGACAACCTGGCGCCCAGTCTAAGCGGCAAAAGCTGCCAGTCCGATTATCTGGTAAGTTTACCGCCGAACGCTAATTAATATTAAGCCCAGCATCGTGGGGAAACACGTTCCGCAATTATTTTCTCGTAAAATTGTCATGCATGAGCAACGCTTTCGTCCATTTTTCTTTGGGCGACGCGCACATTCATCAAAATCTCAGGGACTGGCCGATCTCGCAGTGCCGAACATGAAAATAGACTATACGGATCCCCCATATCCCCCACTATATATGTATATACATAGTATATCCCCAACCGATATCTGTTGTATCTACTGACCGAAATTTATGCGCTCGCTGACGGGCAACTTAATAAGCTTCGAGCTTCGCCATCCTTCCCAGATTCATCCGATTACCGGGAATATTATGAGTTATGATCAGAGGAGAGTTTGGCTCCATCTGGGCCCTGGGCCCCCGGAAAAGTGTTTTCCCGAAAAACGTGAACAAAAAATGTGGCGGACAAATAGCCAGAGAATTTACGGTGGCAGGGAAAGGGTCGTTGTCTCTGCATTTAGTGAAAGGCAATAAATAAATTTTCCTGTTATAAGCCAGCCCATGGGCTATGAAATGAAAATGGAAATCGTGTTGTAAATTAATTACAACAACTTCGTTTGGCCGGGAATCGAGAATCGGAAGAATCGGGAGAATCGAGAAACAGCATCCCCATGTTTGGGGGATTGCAGCGGATCGCTTTACTGTTTCGTAATAGTTTCGGGGAACAAAAACCGATGTGGCAGTTGACAAATTGCACAGGAAAAACATGACATGATCTCGGGGTGTTCTGCTTCGAAAGGTGTTGCAAGACATGGCTTAAGTGGGGCGCGGAGGGGGGTGGTGCCGGGAAAGTGGGGCATACACTCCCAAATGACAGGCCAACAAATTGTCAACAATTATGCAAACAGTTTTTGCCATCGCCCCCCTTTTCGTTTCGGGTTGGCCGGCGTTGAGTAATTTCCATGCAGTTTGTATAAGTTTTTCACATTTTTAATGTACAAATTTGTTAATTTACCATAAAACTTAGCATATTTGTATGTTGACTGCACCCCAACCCCTTTGGCAGATATTAATGTGCGGCCATAGTTTGATTAAAAACTGGCAACGCGCCAAACGTGCAGACATTCAAATGCATCCCAGACCCTGGCAATCCATCCATTCACTTGGAGCCTATGTATTTATATTTATAAATCTCCGCGATTTAAGTAGAAGATTTCCTTTTGAACTGTTTCCAAGTTAAATATCTATATATATGTATATAAATTTCCTTATCGCCGCCAATAGATTGCAGTACTCCAGATGTGGACGAATTCAAAATGCCATGTCGTCTATCAGTCAAATTTCTACGTAATTGGATTCATAATCCTTTAAGGGTCAAGATAGAACTTTTGGGTGCAAATGACTCACTGAAAGATGTGGCTAACGTAGGTGCACACTATCCATTGATAAACGTTTATCTGGCAGTGAGTCAGTGCTCGATGGGTTTTCCTACAATTAAGTTTATTACGTTCACTGCAAAATACAAACAAATCTGGCATTGCTATCTTGGACTGACCTAACAGCTTAAACATTATTTTACTATTTCCCCGGAATTTAAAGCAGTTAATAATTATCGCTTTTTGGGTTTTGAGTTTCTTGGAAAGCGTTTAGGCCAAACCATAATGTTATAAATTATGATTTTAATTTCCAGCCCACAAAACAATTCACATTTTGATTAAATTTGAATTTCTAGCAAGCACTTATTTTTTCTGCCAATAGTTTTTTTTCTCAAAGGGATTATGGGATTTTACGAGTGACCGCAGCACTCGTAAAAACATGGCAATATTTCCAAAGTGGGTTTGGTATATTAAAAGCATATTTCATGCAGCTTGGGGAAAAACAAATCGTATAATGCCGCGTATCCGTTACATGCTCGAAGATCGGTGGAGAACTTCTAAGAGGAGCGCGCCAAAAAGCGGCTTAAAATCTTTACGCAACTCGAAAAAAAAAACGGAATGCCCAAGTGATAAGTGGCATTTCATTCAGATACAACACATGATATATGCCCGAGCTGCTCGGAAAAATGAAATACACCGAAATTCCATATAGACATACAAACAAGTACACAACACAAAATTTAGAATAGAAAGAAATAAATTAGGTATACATGTTTTTCAAAAACCATTTTTTGTTTTCAACAAGAATCAATTAATTTCAAAACTATTGGGCGTAAAATATTACCTTGGCAATTAAATGAGCGTATTTACCTTCTTTGAGGGCATTTTTCTCTCGGTGTATCTGTGTGTGAGTTGTCGCATATCGAGCGCAGGCTGTCACTAAACGCTTGGAAAATGATAAATCGCTTTATAAAAGTGCAGTGTGAGTTCGTCTGTTCTCGTTCAGTTTAGTTCAGTTCGCTCGGGTTGAATTCTGTTGTTCTGCTGCTGTTGCTGCTCCTTACATTGTTTGTTGTCCGCTAAATATAGACAAACACTATGGGATGCCCTGCTTTTTGCCGATCCTTGCAGACGAAATGACGGCGTTGGTATAGATACATATATGTATAGGGGAAACCCACCCAGAAGTGGCAATTATAATTTGCTTAGCATCGGCGTTAAAGCGAATTTTTCTAATGAAATCCCGAGCGCATCTCCGTCTCCGGATGCCTTGTCGTCTGCGTATGCGCAGCAAAAAATATAGCATCAAATTAATTTAATTGCTAATAAGTGTGCAGTGTGTGGACTTCACAATGCCCCACAAAAACGGGCGCAGACAATGCAGCATGCGGTTCAATGCATTTTAATTGGCCTGTGGAATCTTTACTTGCATAAATTTTGGCCTAATCTCATCATTAGACTGCATTCTGTATGGCACTTGTTGGCCAAGTTGACAGGCCCGGAGCACTTTTGACGTTGTCATTTCGCCTCGCGACACTTTTCTCTAATTTATTGCTTCCCCCCAATTTCGCTCGAGGCCAAATAAAAGTTTATTTCTTACGATATGTTCTTATTTTCAGAGCTCGTATGCCGGGGCTTATCTGGAAGATAAACTCAGTTTCTACAACAAGCACATGGAGAAGTATGGTCAGTTTACAGGTAAGAAGGTCAAACCTTATTGGTTATCCCCTAAATAACATATATATATATATATACAAAATCAACATCACCAGACTTTGAAGGCAATGCCAATGGTTCGAGCTTGGACTGTCTCAACCTAATAGTCCAGAGCATCAACAAGAGCACCACGAGTCCCATTCAAAGCAAGGCCACGCCCTTACCTGCAGATTCCAAGACGCCGCCCACATCCGAAGTACCGCCATCCACATCGCTGCATGCAAACTTCAAGCGGAAATGCAGCACTTAGCATTGAGTGGCTGAAACCTTAGGCAATTGTAAAGATACTTTTTAAGCGGATACACGAGATACCCAGTGACCCAGATAGGCCTTAAATTATTTGTATAGCCCTAGCTCTTAATTAAATGGTAATTCAAATAGCGAACAGAGTCTTTCACTTAGTCCAGATCGAGTTTGCGAAAGGAGCCGCTCATCCCGTCCAGTTCGCCATTGGCCCAGGCACTGGACAGTCCGACGCGGAGCTTCTCATTGGTCCCGTACTGGGCGTCCTTGGCCAGGTATTCCCTGTTGTCCAGCAGCTTCTGGCGCCAGTAGTCCACGGCCTCCGCCTGGTAGCCATTGGTCCCTCCATACTCGATGGTCATCGCATCTCTGGGCAGGTGCTGGTACAAATCCTCCGACCTTTTGTGCACCACGAACTAAAGTGGATGGTAGAGGTAAATACATAAACTTCATATTAAGTACTTTGGATAATGCTGGAAAAACATATGTTAAATTATTCATTTTTCCTTAATATTGGTGGCCAATAGGTAAAGGTATCTTGTTTGTCAAATTAAATGTATAAATGAAATCATTTGCTAAATTTATTTATAAATTATTTGGATTTTGGGAGTTTGTAATTCAATCAAATAATATATTTTAATAGCTCTAAAGCTTTCCAACTTTATTAACTTATAACTTATATCCTACCGTTATAAAAACTTAAAATTCCAAATTATTTAAGATATTTTAATTTAAATTCTCTCAATATTTTTTGAACGTAAAATGACTCATTTTAAATGGTGGCTTGGAGGGTAAAACCTTTGTTACACAGTTACAAATAGTCTGTCGTTTTTTTCGCATTTTGATCATGAATGGGAGATGTCAATATATGAAGTTTATATTAAATACTTTGTATAACGCTGCCAAATCTATGTTTAATTATTTATTCTTCCTTAATATATTGCCCTAATAATGACTGCTGACACAAGCGCACCTATAAAAAATTAAAATTCTTAAACAAAGGCTGAATGAAATCAGCTCTTTTACTAAATTTGGATTCTACAAAAATATATATAACTTTTATATAATATAATATTAGAGAGGTAGTAATTCAATCACTAATTATATTTCTAAAGCTTTCTTAGGTTATTAGCATAATAAATTTCGCCTACTATTCTGTAAGCGTTTAACACAATATTAATTTATAAGTTTAAATTTAGTTTCTCTCAGTCTGTTTTGGTGTGTAAATAAATCTCAAAGAAATTAGACATATAATTCCATATAATGACTCACCTTAAAAGGTAGTTTGGAGGGTAAAAACTTTGTTACAAAGTTGAAAATGGTCTGCCCTTCCTTTCGCATATTGATCATGTGAATCTCCACAAATCGCAGGGGAATGCACTGATCCACCAAGGCGAACGCCTTCTTCAGCAGGAAGGGATCGTATTGCAGCATCTGCTCCATGGTCACGTCCCGGGCATCCACCACCCAGACGAGTCCGGAAATCGAAGCATTATCGCACTCCCGGGCCAGAAGTTCCAGCATGATGAAGACCAGTTTGAAGGCCTCGCGGGGATTCGACTTCTTGACATCGACGTTCCGGAACTGCGAGATGATAACCCTCGGTCCCTGGGGACTCACAGGTCGAGTGGGTATCACATGGATCCTGGAGATCATTAAAAGGTGAGTCTTGATTATATTTTTGAAATGTTTAGTCATATTTGTTATATTTATACGGCCAGTACGAAATTAATTTCCAGCAAGTAATATCCATAGATAGTGAGTGAATAAATTATTTGTGCCATTAGCACGATAAAGATGTTCATTATTTCAGGCACTACTGATTAGAAAGTTTGATTTTGAGTGAATGAGTAGTTTCCTCATTGGCGTTGACCCTCAACCCACCCTCTTTGCAGCTGGGTGAGCAGCGCCTCATCCACCTGCCGCGATCCCAGGACCTCGGGGAACACACTGCGCAGGGAGTAGTAGTTGTCGATGCGTCGCTTGGTCTCCTCCTGGCTGAAACGGCAGCGCCGCAGGAAGGCCAGGATTAGCTGCTCATCGGTGGGGGCCTTGAGGTGTGGCGACTTGCCGATCCACGTCTGGATGGTGGCCACAATCTCGGCGCGCTTTGCCTGCTCCTCGTTGCACTCGCTCTTGGCCAGAGCGGCCAGCTGGGGATCAAGAGGTCTCAGCTTGCTGGTCGTCGCCATTCCGGCGCCCGTCTGAATGCTAACTGAATGCCAAAAGCAATGGAGGCACCGCCGTGGTCGATGTGCTGGTGGCTTTTGGTGACTTTGGTGTTAGTGGCGCTATCTAATCGGGACAACACCTTGTAAAACTAGCTGGAACGGCAACCCGAAGCCCGTCAGAGCGGGCGAATACATACAGATACACGAGTGCATAGATATAGTGATATGGGTGGGCGTTATCTTTAATTGATCGACTACAGCAGTGCTTGGAATGTTCATATGGATTTGCATTGGGGGGAGAGGGTGGGGGGCAGACTTCCTGCTTCCGGTTGAATTTTTTTCTGGTCCGAATCAGTCCCAGTTGAGGCGGCGGAAGGAGCCGCTGGCCCCGAACTCGGCCTCATAGGTGGCTATCTCGCCGGGACGCAGCTCCTCGATGGTCCCGTAGTTGACGTCCTGCTCGAAGTACCCGCGATAGCTGTTCAACAGGTCCTCCATGTAGGCCACGCACTCGCCCAAATGGCCATTGGTGCCCCCGTACTCCTCGGGCAGTGAGTCCTTACCAATGTGCTCGATCAGTTCCTCGCTGTTCTTCAGCACGCGTATCTGAAACGACAAGTTGACAAGGAAATATTAAATGGTTATTATTAAATGCAGAACAAACAAGATAAACTTTTTTATACACTTGAACTTTGACAAATCTGAACGAAACCAATAAAAAACATTTTACTTATTTATATACTTATATATATATATTGGAATATATTCCAAATGAAATTGTTATACCTAAATGTTGTATATTCTTATTTACATAATTATTTAGTTTGCCTTATATTAAAAATACTAAAAACCAATAAAATTATATATTTCTTAATGAGTACTAAGGACATTAACTAAAGATAATTTTTAAATATAAGAATTATAAACACATTTTTAAAATGAAAACAATCTAATAGTAAGCCAGAAAGATTAGCATGGGATAGAATTTTTTTTAAATTTATATACTAAATGTAAATATTGACATCAACAAAATACAATAATTCTAATTGAATACTTAGGGCATTAAACAAAGCTGCTTAATCAATTTGCAATTCTAAAAATTATAAAACCATTTTTTAAACGAAAATAATCTAGTAGTAAACCGGCAATTTTAAAATGAAGAATGGGTTACAACTTCTTAAATTACCTAAAGTAATGATTTAATGATTTTCAAATAAAAAAAAAACCATTTACACACCGGATAGTTAACCTGCATGCTGAGCACGTTGTAGAGAAACATGACGGTGCCCTGAATATCCTTGGGCATGTTGATAATGTACATCTCCTTGACCTTCAGCGGACTGCAGTTGTACAGCCAGTTCCACCACCGCCGGAATAGAACCCTGTCGAATCGCCGCATCTTGTCCGAGTTGAGGCCTTCGAGGTCGATGATTTCACAGATGCCCGCCAGGGAGGCATGGTCATTCTCCAGAGCTATCACCTCCATGGCCATCGAGGAAAAGTGATAGATTTCGCGCAGCATGTACAGATTGGGATCGAAGTGGCCAAAACGGGCTATGAAAATGGCTGAACGACTATCTCCCTTGGGCATATCCGGATATAGACATACTCTGAAAATTGCAATTATGTTCAGAGCTAATCAATCTTCACTCACAAAACCAATCACTTAACAAACGACAAGGAAAGGAAATCAATAAAATAAATATGATTGATTTTTATGACTTCTCTTGTTAATAAAATTAAAATAAAATAAATTAAATATAACTTCAAATTGGAATTTTTAATCTTTTATTGTTAGATTGGTAATTTTGAATATGTAATTTATTCCTCTGTTTTAACACTGTGACTAGTACCTTAATAATAAGTTATGCTTAGCTTTTAGCACTAGGACTTTGTTACATATAAAAATTGATTAACATTGAGTTTTTACAATTTGAAATGGAATTTGATTAAGAAGAGCATTGTTCTTTAAATAATAAATAAATTTCGAACAAAATAATTATAAAATTCAGATTGATTTTGTTATTGTCGAGTGCATAAGTTTAGCTCACCCCATGCGATTGATGTCCAGAAGCCGTTGCGTCACACAGCGATTGTTCATGATCTCCGGGAAGAGGTTGTAGTGGGTGAAGTAGCGGTCGATCCGGCGCTTGGTCTCCTCCAAACTGTACCGGCAGCGTCTCAGGAAGGCGATCAGGAAGTCCACATCGGTGCGGGCACGCAGATGCGGCTGCTGGCGAATCCAGACGCGCAGGATAATGATGTCCTGCTGAATGCGGTCGGGCGTCTCGTTCACCTCCTGCTCGGCCAATTTGGCCAGTGTCGGCGAGAGCGGACGTCGCATTTTGGTAACGGCTCTACGGTGTTTGATGGCATTTGGCCCCATCGGTGATATATCTAATTTGCCTATTTACCCACCCGCCCCCGCCCCCTTCCATCTGATGGTGGGTTGACGCCTAATCTAATCTTATCGCCCCAACAAATCGTATTGGGGAAATACAGCCGCTTCACGGTCGGTATCTACACGCATTTGTAACTTGCACTTTTCTCCAGTTCGGGAACTCGAATTGGGATATTGGTAGCAGGAGGCAACTAGGTGGACTTGTAATATATATGGGAACAATAGCGCATATCCGGCGCCTGTCTAAAGAGATCTCTTAAGTGCCCTTCTCGAGCACATTTAAGAAGTGGATACACTGGGATTTAATTTATTGTTCTTCCAAAATATAGAAAAAAAATCATTTTTAAAATCAGACATATACTTTAGGCAAAGGTTTTTGCTTATTTTGTTAGTTCATAAAAATTAGAATACATTTATTTAAGCCAAAGGTTTTTGCTTATTTTGTTAAATCATAGAAATTAGAATACTTACTTCTAAACAAGAGTCATTTTTATTACTTTGGGATCCACATTTCTAAATATTTTAATATGGTAAAATATTTCAATTCATACAAAATGTATACAACATATTTCTAAATATATTAATATGGTAAAATGTTTCAAATTCATAAAAATAATATATAAATTTAATAAATATTGTAACAATTATACAATTTATAAGCTTGAAAAAAGTATATTTTAACATAAAAAATTTTGCAAATCGCATAAAATTTAGGTCCTATACGGCCACGGTTTTTTAAAGGTTTTAAATCTAATTTTTAACGTTTTCTATAATTTTGATAACTTTAAGATTTTGAATTTAGAGATATTACATTATATTTTTTTGTATTTCTTCAGTTTTTTCTTCCCCTTTTTCCGTCAGTGTACGAGTACTCTCTGCTGAAATGCGATCTGCGTTTAATGCCCGAAATAAATCTAACGCTAAATAGTATCCAGTTCGTTGTGAGCATCCGATTTGAGTGCCTGTCAGAGGGCATTATACACCGACATCTCGGGAAGGTGGCGATGCGCTGTTGAAGTTGACATGGAACACCTACGGCCGGGCAAATTGCTGTGACATGGCGCTGTCAGCTGCTGACAAGCCAGAGATCTGGCAAACTGGCGATCTTGGCTGTGAGCTGTGGACTGTACGATGTGCGATGTGGGATCCCAGGAAGCGGATCATCTTGCCACCGCCGGTACTCCCACTCCGCCAAATAACTCATAACACATTATGGCCATGGAGCATCGGGATGAGGACTGCCACTTTGATCTTGCTGCTGACAGGGCAGCGCGTGTAAATTCCCTTCGCAGGCAGCTCATTGCTCATGACACAAACATATCGTTGCCATATTAATAATGAGGCTCATTAACAGCTCGCCGCAGTGCACCATCGCACTCGACACATTGCCCGATGCACTGGCACTTTCTGGGGGAAAAGGGATGAGGTCGGGGATGGGAATGGGAGTATGTAATTGACACGCTCATTGCTGATAAGTGTATTTTGTTGTAAGCACTTCAGATATGCTCGCAAACCCTTGGAATGCATATGCTGCACTCGGCGCAACTGATGGATGCCAAAGGAATGGCACGGCTGAATCTTAACAATAAAGGGTAGGGAAATTATGCCTTCAAGAGTGGCTTACTGACGGCTCAATCAATCTGCAGCACTCTATTACAAAGTGTTGCTTTAAAGTACACAGTGAAAACTGGTAAAAGTATTAATAAGTAAAACACTTAATTTTAAACAAAATGTTTTCTTGTACTTTTTTCTTGTACTTTTTAAAATGTTTTTACCTTTATTTTGTACCTAAAACGTTATACTTTAAAGTTCTGTTTTTATGTGCACTTACATTTACTTGGAAAAATCTTTCTTAACTGTTTTGAAACTAATCCCACTTTATATTGAAAAAGTACTTGTTGCGAGTTTAAAACAAGCAACGCCCTTTGTTCTTTATTATATTTTTCTATTTCATGTTTGGATTAATTGTAAATTAATTAACATTTACATTAACATATATTTACTTATTTAACCCCATCATTATCTAAATGTATTTTAAAATATTTAAGATTTTTTAGAATGTGTTTGAAATCTTGTTTAAAAAACCTACAAATTTTTCAAAGTCAAAAAATATATTTCTAAATTTGATGTATTATTTATGTTGTGAGAAAAACGAGCAAAAGCATTATTAAATAGTTAAAGTACGAATATAACAAAATTTGTATATAAAATATAAAACGAAATGGAATCGCATCGCTGCAGATGACGCTGCCACAACCAACAGTCATATGGGTTTATAAACGTTTCATGTTTTAATTTATAGACTTACATAAAACGCCCCATTTTGTGCGCCAAGTGCGAGGGAGAGCGGGAAAAGCGGAAAAGCGGGGAAATGGGGAAAATGCATTTGCTTGGCGCTCAATTGACAATCATATTTATAGAGCATATTGAACAAATAGACCAGACCCCGCCAGCGCTAGCCCAAAGATAATATTCGAGCAAGAGGCATTTTTGTCGGTTGGCCGTCGTTGTCGCTCGACTGCCAGTTGTCACTCAACTTGATCCGAGCTATGTTCTCATATAGTATAGAACATGCACGACGTTTGTACTTTGCCGTAGCCCGACCCCTCGAACAACAAAATTAAACGGCAAATGAAATTTC